GTAAAATTTCATCCGTTTTTGTTTCAGTGTTCCGAAGATGATTTGTATCGGGTCTACTTTGAACTTTCGATTTCAGTTTCTGCCAGAAGTAAAATAAATTTTTATCCTCCAAATTTCCCGTCCACAAGTCTGATGAATTTTGGAATGACAGTAAGGTTGCTTCACTCAGCTGAGATTCAAAAAATTGCAAGTATTCCAGCACACTGTTTATATTTTTATGTTCTTTCTCTGCTGTTTTGACTTGTTCTTGTGATTTTATATTTCTTTCATATTTGATGGCATCAGGAGTGAAGGGATGCAACCCACACGCATGAAAACCATTTGGTAGAATTTTCTCAAAGTCAACATTTTCAAGTGCTTTCTTCAGGATGGACCCAAAGTGTTCGCGTTTCAACCGTTCACCATTGTGTTCTATTCTTCAATTGTGAACAACAGATTTCCAAGAAGCTTTCAAAAGACGAAAAACAGCTACGTCCAAAGGCTGAAGAATATGTGTCGAATTTGGAAAAAGTGCAACCAATTCTATCCCACTTTCCACGCAAAAATCACTCAGAACCATTGTTAAATGCGAACTATGTCCGTCAACGAACAAGACGACTGGTAGTTGAATACTATTTTTCACCAACCATGGATGGAATATATTCGCAACGTATTCGTAAAAACTCTCAGCGGTCATCCATCCGGTTTCTGAGCGACCAACTGCCCAATCAGCTGGCATGTTCCTTATTATATGGTTGGGTACTCTTTGATACGAATACATAACCATGGGGGGTGCTAACATGCCCTTTGCATTTCCACAAATTAGTGTAGTCAAACATTCTTTCTCGTCATTGTTTATGAAATTATAAACAACCTTTTCTCCCTTTTTGACGATGAGTTTGTTTTCTTTTGGGCTTAGGAAAAAGGCAGTTTCATCACAGTTATAAACTCTAGAAGGATCGTCAAGAATGTTCATGAGATTGTTTTGTTCAAAATGTTTTCCAATATCCGGGAACCATTGTCTTATTTTCTGCTCCGAGATTGATGCTCGACTGTGTGTCAAATTTTGAGATGTTCGTAAACGGATTTCCGGATGTTTACGCAGAAAGGCTTCATACCAGTGCCTGCCTGGTCGTCCATCAGTAAACTTGTTTGCCCGTTTCAATTTTTTGACAAGCATTTCTACACTATCCAACAACTAAGTTTTTGTGACAGGAAATCCTATATTTCCCACATGGAGAATCTACCGAACCAATAATATGTTTCTTCTTCTGTTGAAAGTACTGTATCAGGGCCAATTTTTCTTTCAATGGGGTAAACACCTGTTGGTACAGAGTATGTTTTACTAGCAGTAAAAACTTTCATGCCATTAGCAACAGCTGTTGAAGCTTTTTGCATTTGCTCTTCCGAATATTGAAGTCGACGATGAGCCATTTTTCTGAAAAAACCCAAGTACCAATTACTGACTGATGCATGTCCTAGATACCGACAGTCACATAAATCGAGTTACATAACGCTAATAGAAATGAAATCGCTATGTCAGTAACTGGTACATAGCTCAACCAGAGAAATATTAAATTAGGTGACAACAGAAATAGAAAATACGGAAACTCGTAGAAATCAACAGAGACAGCAAACATTCAGATCCATTGTACCAGTTATTGACAGTATTGTCAGTATTCGGTACATGATGCAATAGGTATTTGTACATATTACTGACAATTAAATTTTTCGTAATATTCAATTTATTCTTTATGATCAGTCTGAAAGGAATAATTCTACTTTGGAAATATTAACCATAAACTCACCTGTATCGAATATTTCGCAAAGGACTACAGACGCTGTTTACGGAACTTGCACAAAAAATATACCTAAGTTGTTGTAAGATTGACTACCACACGAGCTCTCACGTGTAAATGGCGGGAAGCACTCAGAATAGAAGCTGGCTGTCAGTTTCTTAGGCGGTTATTTCAAAATTTCACTTGTGGCATTGTAACGGAAACTTGTTTGGGCCTGATGTTTCCAAATTCACAATTTCAATGCAGCCATATACCTTATTTTTTGATAATAACTAACATGAGTGTCAGTATTTGGGACACTATCTGTAATTGGGACAATTACCTTAACTGACGAATTCACAGCTCGGAGTTTATAAAATGATTTTTTGGTACCATGCTGAAATGGCAGATATGGTTTTTGCATTTGGCTTGGCTGACGGAAATTCAAGCGAGGCCAGACGCATCTATCTGGAAAGGTATCTCCAACGCGTGACTCCTTGTGCAGCGACATTTGCGAATCTTTTCCGGCGACTTTTCGAATCTGAAAGCTTTGAAACACATTCTGCAGTACACTTCAATACCCAACATTGAAAAAATGGAAATTACTGATGTTTTTCAAAGCTTCCACCCAAATTTTAAATTTACAGCAGAATTGAAAGAAGAAAATTCTCTAGACTTCTTAGACACTAAGATATCGAGAACACCTTACCAGACTTTAAAAGTCGACTGGTACCACAAAACTACTTTTTCAGAAAGGTTAATTATTTTTCACAACACAGTTTTAACAATAAAATCAATATCATTAGGAACTTAAAATCAAGAGCACTCACAATTTCTGATAGTGACTTTCATAACAAAAACATCAGAATTATAGAAGATTTTCTTATTAAAAATAATTGCCCTCTTTCATTGGTGAAAAAAATTATAAATGAAAATAGACAACCCACACTGAAAATTACCAATTCAAAATATTTCAAAATTCCTTGTGTACATAACCTTTCTGAAAAACTTGGATCAGTTCTAAATAATGAACACATCAAAATTGCGTTTGCAAATGTTATCACTGTAGGTAAAAGATTTTTTTCGAAACAAAAAAAAATCGATGAATATGCAATCAAACGTCGTTAATAAAATTAACTGCAAGGAGTGTCTAGAATGTTATGTAGGGCAAACGGGACGTTACTTAAAAAACAGGTTGTCCGAACATGAAAGAGATACAAGGAAGTTGAATGTTGCCAATCCAACACCTCTTGTTGATCACATAAGAGAAAACAACCACAGTTTTGACTTTGAAAACCCCAAGATTTAGATATTCAACCTTTATTAGGTAAACGACTGTTTAGTGAGATGATCTACATTTTCAAACAAAAAATGTTGACACTAGAAGGGACATAGAAGGACTGAATAATGCTTATTTTAATTTACTAAATCGTATTCTTTAATATTTTAATACAGATACGTTTCCAACATCCTGTGTAATCTGATATCCTTCTATTGTTTATACATTTTTTTAAGGCAAACAAAAACGTCCATTGCTAATCAGTTTGTCTCCCTTGATATCGTTTTCTTTTTTAATGTGTCCGTGGTGTATGTGTTTTCATTTGGTTAGTCCTCATGTTCGTTTGTACCTATGTTGTCTGATACATATATTTTAAACGTATTTTTTGACATGGATAACTAATGTTTGGTAAGTGCACCTTTTTATTTCTCTTTCACATAATATGAGATTGTATAAACTTTATAAATTTTACAATATGTATTGGTATATACTGTTTACTTATTAAATTTATTTATTATAGAGCTCTGATGATGGATTTAATAAAGTCCGAAACGCACAAAAATGAATTGTTTATCTACGAACATTTTTGATCGCTTTCTCAACCAATAGAAAGAAACCAGAAATGTGGTTTGGTGGTTCAAAAATCACTACTATTGTGGTACTAAAACTAACTAACACAGTTTATTGTATGATTTTCACTATAAACAATAAACTGTATTAATTAGTTTTAATATGGATTTTTATCAAGTATCGGCCAGTTCGATTCAATTATTGTGGTAATATTTAAAAATATTCTGAAATAAAACACGATGATTTTGTCCTCGGAGTAATAATAAGACATAGAGTTGCCATGCCTGTACCAATACAATACATGTATTTTGAAGCGGGTATCGTACTATCCTTTTCTGTACAATTTTAGGACGAGGGGGGTGTGGCGGGTAATGAGGGGTTATGAAGAGTGTGTTTACATTTGAAGTAAGGTGGACCATAAAACAATGGCGGTTGGTTTAGTTGATAATCGGAGGGATATTATATATTTATAAAATAAATAATTTCAGGTGGAAATGTATTCTGTTTAAATAGTTCCTACAAGAAATTTGATTTTTATTAATGATTATGGAAATGAGGCCAGTTTTTCTATCACCTACTAGTTTTTATTCATGTATCGCTTTATAATAAAGCGTGTGGTTTACTGGGTTGAAATTAAATAATTTCAAATGAACTAATTCATAACAATGATAAATGTTAATTTTAAAAGTAATGAACTTTGCTTCATATAATCAGATGAAGAAATTTGTAATTTATTCTCAGATTTGATGAACAAGCGGTACGGTTTCTGAGGTCCTATATAAAGAATTTTCGATTAGAAATCATGAATATTAATAATTAATTACGATTGAGGTTTGATATTATTATTTTGATACAAATTTTGAATAAAATCATGATTTCTAATCGAAAATTCTTCATATCGGATCTCACAAACCGTACCGCTTGTTTATAAAATCTGAGAATAAATCACAAATTTCTCCATCTGATTATATGAAGCAAAGTTCATTACTTTTGAAATTAACATTTATCATTGTTATGAATTAGTTCATTTGAAATAATTTAATTTTAACCCAGTAAACCACGCGCTTTATTATAAAGCCATACATAAATAAAAATCTAGTAGGTGGTAGAAAAACTGGCTTCATTTCTATAATCATTAATAATAAATCAGATTTCGTGTAGGAACTATTTGAACAGAATACATTTTTACCTGAAATGATAGATTTTGTAAATATATATCCCTCCGATTATCAATTAAACCAACCGCCACTGTTTTATGGTCCAACTTACTTCCCGTAAACAAAGTTATGCTGCCTTCAATGCAAGGATGTAAAAGGCCCCTCTATTCTCTTTTATTACTCTGTGGTAATGTGAGGTGTCATGTTTTGTTGTGGGCTGTGAGTGTGAGAGTGACAATTGGCAGGCGACGGGTTTGAATTTGGAACATTTTTTTTCTTCCACTAAAAAAAATATAGATGAAAACACTTGTTTTGAGAATAACACTTTCAAATCCAAATAGTTTTTGTATTCCGCAGAGTTAAAATATATTTATGTTATAGGTACTTCTCAGTACAAAACAGTTCAGGTAATCTAACTTAAAACCAAGTAAAAACTTATTAAAGTTTAAAATAATATCTGTTAATTTTCTTCTTTTCAGCTGAAGTTTCATTTAACCAAAGTTAATTTTTTCCTCCCATTGAAAAAATATTGATGCAGACACACTCGAAATTAGGAATCGAGGTCTTTTTGCACCAAAATGTACATCTAGCCTATTTATCAAAAAATGACTGCTCCCTATTTTACAATCACAATTGTTTCATGGTCAATTCATTGTTAGGTATCCTCTGTGATCCTATAACGAGGAAAAAAGCGATCAATTTCAATATTCATATACTACAAGATTAATTAATTGGAAAATGTATCTGAATTTTTATAATTATTCTGATAATGTATCCTGTTGAGCCTTTTTCCTTTAAACATTTTTTGCCAGGAATAATATATGAAAGTATTCAAATTATTCATTTCAAATGTTTAGTAGAAATAAGTTATTGATCAATGATAATTTCTACAAGCGGATGTAAAATGGGCCTAACGACCAGTTGTAATCAATTGATTATAGAAACATAGATGGTGTGTGGGAAAAGTTATTTCTTTAGACTTGCTAATCATCGGTAGATTTGAAAAACTGTTGGCTGGTTCATACAATAATCTTTAACTTTTTATTTCACCTTTGAAGAAAAAATTGAAGAAAATGAGTGCATTCATACACCATCTATGAAAGTATGGTGTATGAACGCTCTCCCAATGTGTGAATTCCCCCTTACTAATTTTCATTGACCTGTTTGCAGCAGATGTCACTTCTTGAATCTGATTTATCAAACTAACTTTTTGAATTTATATTTCAGTAGACATTCTATAACCAACTCCAAGCACCTGCTCAATCATGGAAGCTGAAGTCAAACAAATTTTTCCAACACCCTTTACAATGGACACTGCAATGACTCCTAAGACAGTACGTGAGCTTCATATGATTAGACTGAGTCAGGAAATTAGAGAAAAAGAAAGATGGGCAGAGAAAATTAATGACGATGATATCTTGGAACATTGGAGAAATGAAATCAATGAGGACAAACACTTAGTTGATTATGTTTTTGATGAATTGAAGTATTATGCCAGTCGAACATCAAATGGGATTGAGGTCGGTGCAATAGATGGAACATGGCAGGCATCTAGGTTAATAGATCCTCAATTGAAAAACAATTTCAAAAAATATGTTCACGATACCCTAGAAAATGTAGATGAAAGTCAGAAGGACTATCATCCTTGGAGCAAAAATCAAGTAGTGGATCTAGTACATCCGTCTTTATATTGTTATGTTAAAGGTGTTACTAAAGTTGATAAGTTAGATGATAAACTGGATTATATAGAAGATGAATATAAGACTACTTCCAGTGGAGCACATGCAAGTGAGTTACATATTTCCACAAAACCAGTTGAAGAAAATATATACAAATACCAATGGCTACCTTCAGAGTTCCATGTTGATTCAGAAGGAAAGGTTTTTATTAATTCATACATAAATAATTTGAACCCCAAGAAACATGAGCCTTTATACTCAATGATTGGCCAGATATTTGAGAAGTTTATTCCTTTGTTCAACCGTGTTTTAACTGATTTATTGAATATACCAAAAAACAGAATAGAAGTATCATGTTTTTTATGGTATAAAGATTCGGAAAAAGATTCTCATTCCTATGATTCAGAAGACTTTTCAAAAGAACCAGAAGATAATAGGGAAATTCAATGGCCAGAAATACCCAAATTCACACCACCAGAACCAGGAAGTGAAATCGTTGATGTGAGGGGAAGAAATTTGCAAGTAATAGTAAAACTGGCAAATATTGAACTGACTCCCAAAGAACCAAAATATGCTGGAGGTGTCTGGCATGTTGAAGGTACTGAAAATGAAGCCATCGTAGCCACAGGGATATACTATTACTCATCTTCGAATATAACAGAATCCAGGTTGTTCTTCAAACAAGGTATCGAAGATCCAGATTATGAACAGTACGATGGCCGGGGGGTGAAGGAGTTTTATGGCCTGGAGGATGGAGATCCTCTGAGCCAAGAAATTGGTTCAATTGTTTGTGGTGAAGATTGTTGTATTGCCTTTCCTAATATCTACCAACACAGGGTAGGCCCTTTTGAGTTGGTAGATAAAACTAAGAATGGACATAGGAAAATTTTGGTATTTTTTCTTGTTGATCCGAATAAAAGAATTCTCTCGACAAAGCACGTTGCTCCTCAACAAAGGAGTTGGATTGAAAGTGAAAACAGAGAATCAAATCTAAAGTTCACTATGAGTTTTGATGATGCTCGGATGTATAGAGAGAAGTTGATGTTGACAAGAAAGTTTGATGAATCTACAAAGGAATATGACTTTGGAAAGCCTGAATGTTTCTATGAGCGTAGATTTTCGTTATGTGAACATTAAACTCTGATTCATATTATACAGGTATAAAATTTTATTAATGCTTAAAATTGATCTAATTCGGTGTCAAGTACTAGAAGACAGGGTACTTATAATTTTATTGAATAATAAAACTGTGATGGTAATCTGGAATAACAAATTAGCTTAACCACTATTAAAAATTAGTTTGTATACTAAAATAAAAATGATATGTTTCTTCATAAATTAAATATATATGAAATATTTTTATTCCTGGATTTTTATTCCGGAAGCTTTTGAACTCAGCTTTTCTCATAATTTACCAATATATGGATGCACTTTAAAAACTACTTTATAGCTATAGCTATACTATTTTTTAAAACTCATTAATACAGTTTATTGTATGATTTTCACTGTAAAAGGTTTTAAAAAAACTGCGACAAGTGTTTCGCTATACAATAGTTTCATCAAGCGCTTGATAAAGCTAATGTATAGCAAAACAAGTATCGCTGGTATGAAATTAGTTCTGAAAAACAATAAGTAGGTTGGTTTAAAATGGGTGGGCCTGTTCGATAATACTGCAACCCGCGAGTGTTTATTGTGGCTCACCTATTCAAACTCTACCCAATTAATCCTGTTTTGTAATATAGCCGATTTATTTATTTGGAGATTGAGATCTTTTAGGTCAGCTGGTAATAGTCAAACGCTGCCAAATGTTAAAAACCTGATCCGGTACGCGAAAGGGCAGGCATAAAGAACGTTATCTGCTATCCGGGTATGAATTTCCTAGTGAAGAATAACCCCTTCCAAGGTGGTAAATTTTCCCAAAGACAGTGAGAACCTCCCAGGATTGTTCTTAAGTTAGAGAACTGAGAAGATCCCGCTCTTGATCCGATGTTAACGGGATGCTAAAAAGTTTGCTAGAACTTAAAGGTCTATGTTATTCAAATTCAAATGTTTACAAACAATGTTGGAGCAATTAATATAAACCATTCATTTTGGGTTATTATTGGCTTGCTTCAAAAGTTTTGTCTGTTTTTATGAGTCTACTTTAAACTGTAATATCTCAGTGAATACTAATACAATTTGAATCATTTGCCAATGTAATATAAGTCAATTTTGTCAGCATAAAAATTACAGTGAATCACACCAGCTGCTGACTAGCATACAGTAACCATGTTTTTTTTGGGGATTTTTGGGAAGTGCCTGAGTGACTCTTTGGTGTCCAACCACTGTACTGAACGTCTCCTGTTATTGTAGCGGATCCACTTTTCATCACACGTGATAATCCGATCCAAAAAAGAATTGTTTTAGTTGCGCAAAAGCAAAGAAGAACAGACATCGAAACGTGACAATTTCTGTCGATCAGTCAAAACGTGAGGCACCCACTTTTCCAATACTTTCTAAACCATCATCATTGATTACAATATTCCATCTTGAGCTGGGGTGGAATGCTTCGAACACATTTACCGCGAAAAATACTTAAAATAAAAAGTATACTTATTATATCTTTCTTCAATCAAACCAAAGTTCACAGTATAAAATAATTATACTTTTTTGAAATAGTAAAATAAATGTACAAGAACAAGGGAAGCCCTAACAGAATAGAACATAATTATTGCACTAGATTTAGGAAAAAAAAATCAATTTAATCTAGTCGAAAAATTAGCAGGACTACGTTGTTTAACTTTCATTACACCTAGGCTGTTCAATATATTATCAATTATGTATGAAATTTGTTTACACAAACACATTACTTCTAGAACAACATATATTGGAACAACTGATAGAGATTGATTGTATATACTAAAACAATCATATTTGAGTTTCTAATAAATTATTATACAGAGCATGTAATTTCGGAAGGTCACGGTATGACCTAAAACAATCAAAGAAAGTAAAACTGAAAGATTATTTCTTGAAATGGTTCATATTAGTGAAAGTCAGAATTCTTTGAACAAAAAATCGGAAATACAAAATTTGAGCAAAATTCATAATTACATTTTAGCTTTCGAATGAAAAAAAAAAACACTTAAAGTACAGTTATATTTAAACACATGTACACCTTTGTAGGTATAAATAGTTTTTTCTATGTTTATTCGACCTTAGTATTTCCTAATTTTTTTTAATATTATTTGGCAATTCACTAATTCAGGAATACTCATTTCAACAATGTGGAATGCAAGCCAATGTGAACGAAGCCTATTCTATTATTATTCTATAATTTCTTAGCTCATTTTTTGATAAGCACAATTATTAAATACGAAAAGTTATTGACAAATAGAATATTTTTCTATGTGAGAAATATTACGCAGGAACTTATCGTGATAAACTGAAAAGTTTGCCCTTTCCAAATGTGTATTAAAGTCAATTAAATACAATTTTCATATTTTTCAGATTGTGGAAGGTGAAAATATTGCTACAACAAATACAAGTTCCTATTAAAATTTTCAATGCTGAAGCTAAGTAGAAATTCTATAAACATATTCTGAAAATCCATTGATAATTCCTGTGGCAAAGTATAAACAGATTTTTATTACCTCTGCAAGATACAGCCAAAAATAAAATGCCTATATTTTGGTTTTTCCATAATTAGCTTCAGAACTATATTTGCAGATGATACCACAATGACAATCATTAGGTGTACATTGGAAGATGTATTCACAAGAGTCAAAGAGGTTATTGATGGATGTACGTCATGGTGTGAACGCAATCATTTAATATTAAATATCTCTAAATCTGTTTCAATTAAATTTGATAACAGAAAAAATAACATTCCAGGTGGAGTTGATATTACTGATGGAATAATGATGTGACATGATGTGAAATTTCTTGGTACTACTGCAAGAAACTTAATGCAGTGTTGTTCGCGATTAAGCAAATGAAATTGTTTTTAGATAAATATGGAGAGCAACCTAACATAATAGGAAACATATTACTCATTCAATGTTTTTATTTTTCTTTGTATTCCTTTATATGTACTCAGTGTACAGTTTATACAATAAAATTATTATTCAATGGTACTCTAAAAAAGTCAACTTTGTGGCTTTCAATCTCTTACCATTTACGATATTCCCATGCATACTCAAGTTCGAATAGAGGTGTATATTTAGTGAACAAGACTTATTCAATTTGAAAATGACTATGGTTTAGCTTTTATACATAAATGATACAGAATCACGACTGAAACAACTCAATATATTTAAAAGGTTTTTTTCACAAACTATTATTTCATTACCTAATGAAAATGTAATATATGTATATTACGTCTACCTGCCCTATAATTTTGTATAGATGCAATTTGGAAAGGTTATCACATGCCTCCACCTTTCTGTAGTAACTGGGCAAATCGATTTGTGATTAAAAGCGAAACATCGATAAACCTGTCCACACAATTTGTAAGACATGTTTCTGTCCTGCTATCCAGTTTATTGGAAGGTTTATCTACACACTTTTCCCAACAGAAGTCATTGAATTCATGTATCTGAAAATAAGAAAGTTATTGACAATTATTGAAAATTTTTAATAATTTTACTTGAGCATTGAATTGTGCTTTTTGCTTTTCCACCATCAAAAATTCTTGTAATTCTTTATCGCCTCCTTTCGAATCCAAAGTACTGGATGAGAATGAATCAAACGAATCTGACATGTTTTTTTTTGATTGATTGGAAAATACTACTGAAAAATTGGATAACCCCACTATGCTTGTAATGCAAGCAATAACTTAAAAGTCAGGTTAGATCACGATCACAGTGTTAGATGCTTATTGCATAGACCTTACAACTACTGGACTGGCATAGAAGTAGAATGAAAAGATTGAGGATAGCATTACTAGAAAAGGATGCAATACCCCAAGTCAGTTGTTCCCTTCTAAATGTGAGCCAAAGAAAGAGTAAGATTGTGACAGAGTCATATTTTATCTCATCTGTTATAGTCATTCTTTTTTTAAAGTAGTCCGCAAGTTATCGTGTGCAAGGTGACGGGACGGTCGGACCAATAATTATAATCTCTGTCCATGATGCAGTTCTTGCTTACATATTTGATTATGACTATGCTATCTGGAGCAATTTGCCAGTCTTCGGTGATCTGATCAACACCCTTGCTGTGGCATTCAGGATGTCTCATACGAAGTGATACTTCAAATACCTTTTCAAAGTCACCTCTAAGATTTTAATCTTATCACGGTGGACAACAATACATTTATAAGGTTGCGATGCATGTACTCCGGATGGAAGAAATTCATATAATCCAATACACGATAAAACGTGAACAAAATGGACCTCTGTTCAAAAGAACATAGCGATACGTCCGCTTCACTCGACGGTGAAAGTAAAAGTACCAATAGGTTGAATAGATCTGGGAGATCTAATCTAAATATTGTAGAATATTGGAAAAGGATGCAATATTTCAAATCAGTTATTCCCATATACATAATAATAAAGTCATACATTATCTCTTTTTTCAAAATCTCTATTTCTCTGATGTAGTGAGCAATGTATTATGAGAAAAATGTTGGGACGGCCGGTCCAATAGTTGTGATGATGATATATACTTAGAAGCGTTGGTAAAGAAACGGTTCCATGTAGAACTCATTTCGCTCATAGACATGATACCTTGGACTGAGCATTAGAAAGACCTACAAACTGAAAGAAAGGATATATGTCATTGGTGGCGAATAAGGGTTTTTAGCGATAACGTTTCATTTATAGTTTCTGGGGATTCCATCCTTGAGTTTATGCGGAAGACTGTTGTATTTGTGAAAACATTATACGACTTGAATATGCTATTCTTCACCATACAGACTGTAACCAGAATATGACAGAGTTATTCGCATTCTATTTGGCAGTATTGAATGAGAATCGTAGAACGTGGACTAAAGTAATAACAATTTTTTACGGTGTTCAATCTTTGAATTATAATAATTACATTATGTAGCGGTGAATTGGTGCATGATAGTACATCAGACACATGATTGAAATGTCTTGAGTTCGATCTTTACTTCGACTAAACATTTTTCTCGAGAGAATTCAACTAGTTGACTTTAGGATTACTCTGCAACGCTAAATGGCTGACGGACTGCGAATAGCCATGATGCTTCCTAGGTGGCTCGTGGAGTGATTATCATTGCTACCCACTGCGTGTTCTGGACACGCGTCTAATGACCAAAGTGGTCGAAGCCCGTTGACAAATAAAAAATACGAAGATGAACCAATTCTTCAAATTCTAAGTGCTGCAGAACTATAAAGTTTGTATACTTTATATAAGTCCAGAAGTACGAGAATTTTCTCCCTACTGAAAAAGTTATCCATATCTTCATTTTCATTATTGATGATAAAAAATTCCGAGAGTTGATAACCTGAAAAACAGTTTATTATCAATTAGGTTATAATTTTCATGTTCACCTGATTTTTTCCTTGACATGGTTGCGAAAATGAACAAAACTGAAATGTTATATGTTTTAAATTAAATGTGAACACCCAAAAACATTTTAATGACCGCTAACCCAACCTATGAATACATTTCAAAGTTCCCTGCCTGTTTGTCAAACTAACACTCTTTATATATAAGATAGATGGCGCGTTAGTATTTTCAATTTTAATATGCGTTCGTTTTAATGAGTGTCCGAGACTATTTCGGATTTTTTGTCTCTATGCATCATGTACTACGCAGTTTCCAAACATTTTCTGATGTTAGAACCAGAACAACCCTAAAATAAAGCAAGAAGTGAAATAACAACGTAATCGTTTCAGAAGGAGCTTTTTCTTCCAGTTTGTGTCTGAAAGTTACTTCTTTGCATGATCTACACATCTATGTATAGAGTTACTTCTTCTGATTGCTTCCTTCCTTCCTTTGTAAGATTCACACATTTTTTGTATCTAGATGGAGTAGTGTAAAACCAAAAACTCTCTTTCCCAAAAAATAACATCAATCACATCGAAGTAATTTTTATGTTGGCAGCATATTTATATATGCAGCAGACTGCACGATTCTCGAAAGTGAAGGCGAGTTCTTGAACTCAACCAAAAGAAACACTCCAATATTTCAAATGAACAAATAGAAGAATCTATCAATTTAATCGAATTTAAGAAATCATCTAGCTTTTTAGCTTACACTTTTTTGACACAAATTTTTAAAAATTTTGAGAAAAAAAAGATTGATGACGGCTTGCTGATTGAACAAGTATCGAGGTTTCCACAGTTATATGATGAAATGGACCTAATAATAGGTCCATTTCATCATATAACTATAATAATAGCCCAAACGGGGATTTCGGGATTTACTAAAGTGCGGCAGATTAATATACAGGGGGATACCTTGTACCCGGTTAAGTACCTCCACCAAATATGAGCCCCATATATAAGGCCGCCTGTGAGGGATAAAGGATCAGATTAGTAAAAAAAAAATTGATCGTCAGAAATTCTCGAGCGCGTCAGATTAAGGTAGGGTGAGTTAATTACCTGCTAAAAACTGTATATTCCAGTAATCTGACGATTTGAGAGTGATGTTAAGAAAGGGGAGGGCAGCAAAGTTGTAAAAAAAATAACGTCAATTCGACATTCTTGAGCGTAGCACTTTTTTTTTATTTTGAAGGAAATAATTCAAGGATAACGAAAAATATATAATCTGACGATTTCCGCAAGCCGAAATAACAAAAATTCGTCGATAAAGTTTAATGCGTGCGGCTGTGTGATACCTATATTTCCCTCTCCGAGTTTCTATTCCTCTATTCTTTATTAACTTTTTCACTATCTATTACTTTCTCACTCCGTCCCCACTCTGAATTCTGTTGCCATGATCACAGAGACTCGTTCGTGATGAAGATGGAGATGATGATTAATTAATCAATTAATTGATGGATGCGTAGCCGTTACTACGTTGTAGGAAATCATAATGAAGAAATTAATCAATTGATTATGAGAAATAAATTTTTTTTGAGCATTTTCTTAAAATTATTTTCTTATAAATACAAGTATTCTACTTAAAAAAACATACTTATTTATTTGCATGCTATTTCCTGAGCTTTTCTATTAATTAAGTTCAATGAATTAAAAAATTAAAATTAAAAAAAAAAACGGTTTTTGTCAGATTGAGCGAATCCCTCTAGCTAGATAATCGTCAGATTATGAGACAGCACGTGTAAAACATAAAGATGAACCATATATATCTTAATCTGACGCGCTTGAGTATTTCAAATTGACGATTTTTTTCTGCACATTATAATAATGGCTGCGAGTTGCGTGCGTCAGATCGAAATCGTCAGATTATTGAATGAGAGCTTTTTTTTGTTGCACTTAACACCCCCTTAGGAAATCAGACGCGCTCGATTAAATTTTTTTTCTTTTCACTTTTAACCCTTGCGTACAACCACCCACATCATGCAAACGATCAGATTAACATACCAACATTTTTGAAAATACGTAGGACATTGATGCTATCAATATCTGACGCGCTCGAGTATGTCCATGCAACGTTATTTTTTTACATATTTAAACATCTATAGCCGTTTCCCCCACCGATGAAGAGGTATATATTAAATAACATTTTTTTCTTCTTATCATCTAAGTTTTGCAACCTAATATGTCTCAATGACGCTCGAGTAAATCCCCATTTTGCATCGTGCTGTAAGATTCAAAACAAAAATGACTTGATGAATGAAATATTTGGAAAACCATTGGAGTTATTTTGGACGAAGAATGGATTTTGTACCGTCTTGGCTTCTTTTTTTTTTTCGGAAACACACTAGTGCCCTAGTTGTTAATAGTACAAGCATTAAACTCATAATATGATGTTCGTCCAATGTTACTTTTTTATAAACCCGCCTTCATTGTTGAATTTACATTATTTTTGATATTTGATTCAATATTATTAGACACTGAATTCGACCAATCACGTGACTGTGTCGCTATATGCAGCCACAAATATTAATATAAAAGATGAAATTTCACAACCTCCTTTTATAGCTATACGGAGGGTAGGAATACGAATAATCATCTCTGTGTATCAGAAAGTGTCCGTCCAAAGCCATTAAATTAAGGAGGCGCCACTGTAACAAGCGTGTAAATTTCAAATGAATTCCTAAAAGTCAAAGAATAAGGAGAGCTAGATAAAACGGAAGTAGAATCTTTCGCTTACAAATGGAACTATTTTCGAAAAAAAAAAACATTGATTCATTGACTTTCCAAACATTAAGTTTGTTAAATTATATTCATCAAATAATATTCGACTACGTGAATAGTTACTTCCTATAAGGTCTCTATAATTACCAACTCGAGACATCAAAAATATTGAATATTATTCGAATTCATATCATAGCACTCTTGATATTAGCGCCATTTTGTTCAAATTTTGAACTATAATTTATTGTTCCTTGTGGACTCTACTATACATAGAGGGAAAAAACAACTCACTTGAGTTGTTTTTTCCCTCTACGTATGAGTTGTTTTTTCCCTCTATGTATAGTCTTCTATACCAATACAAGAATAATTGTTTACTATTCCGTGATACTAACTCTGGAGTGGAGTTGAAATTGTAAACAGTGTTGCCATATTTTTCACAAATCTAATGGACGATTCCAGTACCCCTATTCAGTGCTGCCACTATAAAATTTTCGGGTTTAAATCGACTGACATTTTCTAGGCCTTTTTTGGAATAATTCAAAGTCGAAACAGATAGAATTTGTAACTTTATAGATTCCTGGATGTTCCCGGATACATGAATCGAAGTATTAAAGTTGATATGAACAAAAACAAAAAATCCTAGGGAGTAGTTACGTTTTGATAG